TTCTTGCGCTCGATGAATCATATTAATGACATGTAATCAGTCGCGATGGACAACGAGCTACGCTTCTTGCCGGCGCGAATCGCACGGGGAATACTCCACTTTCACGATTCTGCCGAGATTCCTCGCCTAGATGATCTCCCCTCATCCTCCTGCTTCTCTTTCAGGCTCGAAGAACGGACGCAGACGTGACTTCGTCTTCGCGAAGATACGTATCACTTCCCGTTATTAGCGGAAATTACTATTCTGGCCTAATACCGTCGTGCCGAGATCGCTTCTTCCCGATCCGCGCGTTCTCTCGGGAACGTCGGCGAACGAGCGGAATCGCGAGGCGAAACAAGCGCGCGCGATTGCAGTTACATCGGCGAGAACGCGATCTGTCTGTCTCGCGAAATTACGCGGCGCTCTTCTACCGATTAAGGAAGATTCAACGTACTTACACGGAGAAAATTGTGTGGCAAAAATTACGTTAAAATTATATTTCCCCTCGTAAAGAGAAGGAGAAAAAGAAAAAGAAAAAGAAAAAGGATAAAGTGAAAAGGGGTAAAGGAAAGAATAAAGAGAGAGGAGAATTTAATGTGATATAGATATAGAAAGTATGGAAGAATGGAAAGGATGAAAGAATGGAGGATGTGTGGAAGGTGTGAGGTAGTTGTTTAATGTAAACCAAGTCCCCTTCTTGGCTATTTAATGTATATAGCTGAATGGTAAATAAATTATATATATTTCCCCTCGTAATGTCTTTTGTGAAGCTGGACCCTACAGAAATCGCGGTACTGATTACTATAGAAACAGCAAATTTGACGATCTGGTATATAATAAAAAAAACATTCAAATAATTACAATAATTTTGCAGTAAAAAGTCCAACGTACATAACGTTTTTAAGCAAATATATAGTTTCGATTATTATCCCTCATGTGATCCAACATTGCGAAGATATTGCAATTTTTACTTACAATATTTTCCCCATGTAATAAAAATTACGTTGAAATAGTATTTCGTTTTATAAAGTTTTTCATAAAGCTGAACTATTCTGACATTGTGCTGTATATATTGTTATAGAAATAACAAGTTCTACGATCTACCAAGTATAATATGACACAAAACGTTCAAGCAATTGCAATAATTTCATAATAAAAGTGTGTAACGTTTTTTGTTCAAACAAATAAATATACAGTAATTCAATAGAAAAATGCGAGAATTATAAAAAAAAAGAGAGAAGAAAACACTTTTCTATTAAATACGAGATACGTCGATCAATAGTCCAAGTGTTCGCGATCTCGACGAGCGCCCGATAAGAGTCCGAGAAAACTCGGAAAGGAGAATGTGTGTCGGAACTGCGCGTTTCCATTTCGTTCGCGACCGCGGCGATATCGCAGGTTGTTCGCCGTATAAGTGAATTATTATCGGCACGTCGATTGCCGGCGAGAGTCGCGGAAAAGTCAGCCCCTTCCGTTTCTGCGGTTAGAAAACGATCACGGCGATTTCACGCAGCGGCGCGACCGCCACCGCCGCCTCCACCAACACCGAAGACGCGATCTAATCCGATCTGTTCCGCCACAGCCACTACGGCCACGTGAGTGAGGATCGCAAACCGCGAGTGAGCTTTTACCCGCTCATCTCACCTGACGACCTCTCTCGTGACTGAGATCTCGCCATCTCTTTAGAGGCGAGTCTCTTTTTCCTCCAAAGGCAATGTTGCGAGAAGATCGCGCGGCCACTTCTAATTCGCTCGCCGGTGAAAAGCGCGTTTCCATTTCGCCGTTATCGCGATCTGATCGCCGCCTGCTGACACGTGCGCGGCTGTATGTCGCTTTGTCGACTGTCCTTTTCCGACCGGTAGGCAAGAAGCTATCTGACGATCTGTCTGCGCGCAGCAGTACACTGAGAAATATGCTGAGAGAGAAGAACGTTTGATGTATGTAATAATGTATGGAACGTGATGAATAATATGTCAATGAGGTAATATATAAAAATGTGTACACACTGAAAGAAAAATATAGTTGCATTTGGCGTCAACTATACGCTTTTGTAATTTTAACCACAAAAATAGTTAGAAGAACCATTGTTTTAGTAAGTGTTGTTAGAAAGATGGTTCTTCTAATTATTTTTCTGGTTAACATTACAAAAAAATATAGATGCTGAAATAGTATTGATGCCGAAAGCAACTATATTTTTCTCTCGGTGCAGCAATATATATTTCTCTAAATAGAAAAAATATTGTAGTAAAATTACGTTCAAATTCTTCCAATTTGTTTTGCGCAAAGCTGGATTATGTTAAAATTGTAGTGTGAACTATTGTAGTAAATTTGACTACTTCTCTGCCTTATATGATATAAAAAACATTCAAGTAATTACAATAATTTTGTAGTAGAAATAACTATAATTTTAGCCAGCCAGTCATTTTTTCTCTCAGTGACTCGCAGCAGTACCGAACATTTTCGTTGAATGCCGCTAGGAAACCCCGAATTCTGTCCATTTCGTTCAAGATCGGCGATCAGTACTACGATGTTTCTGATATTTCACGCATTAACGATCCGCGGAACGCAATTCGCAGAGGACTGGTCGATTAGAAAGTATCAAACGCGAAGGCACGCGGATTTCAATGAATTTATGTAAAAACGCGACGCCGCAACATCGCTGGTTGTACGTTAGTAAACAAGACCTGAATATATATTGAGAAAAAATATCTAAAAATTAACAAATATTTATTATGTAGCTACTAATAACATATTTACTTAAATCAAAATTATGTTTATTTAATCTTTCTATTTAAATTTTGAATATGAATATTTGGTTTAACTAGTAATTTTATTTTTTTAGTTCTACGCCATCAAATACCATATTCTACGAAATTTTCACAAATAAATAAAGAGAAATAAATTTGGAACAAATTGACTAAACTATGCGTGCATAGTTAAAAGCTTTTAATAATATGAGTTACGTTTGCATCGGAATCAACTGCGTACTTAAATCGCGTGAGAGAGAAGTAAAGATAATTTCTGTCTTACCATTTCTAAATATAAGCATTTAATAAATGTCGATGCTTTATTGCAAATACGATTCTGAGTGGCATGTGATTTTGAATCGCAGGTGCGATTTTGCGATAAAGGTCCAATTGCGTACCGCAATTGCGATTCAAGAAAAGGAAATCGCAATGCTTGCAATATACCGCAAAATCGCACATCCCTATCTGAATGTCGCTGTCGCTCCACCTGTCGGTTATGCGACTCGATAAATCGGGGATTCAGCGTCGGACAAACCGGCGAGTCATTTGGATTCCGTCCGCGGCCGGTGCAGAGGATAGCAAGTCTTCGTCGCGGCGGCAAGGATACCCCGCGGGCTCCAAGCGGGACAATTTGTCGAGCGACAAGGAGCAAAGGCGGTAGTAGCGGCGCGACGCGATGGGAAGTCGAAATCGCCGGCAAGAATGTTCACTTTCGCGCGCGATAGTGCAGCGAAAATGGGAATTGTCGATGCGGGAAGATCTCGGCGCTAATAACAGGCGGCTTTACGTAATATCGCAGCGGCATAGTTTTCGCGAGGGAAGAAAGTACGAGCCGCGCTCGTGTCCACGCCGAGCGGCGGCGTGTAAGGCGTTACGTTGGCTTACGCGCGCGTAATAAACAACATTTTCGACCGATATCCTCTATCCTCACCTCGCGCCAACTTTCAACGCGCCTTCCTCCGTGGCGTCTCTCGTCCGCGCCGCGGAAAGAAAAGGGAAATCCTTTCCCGTCGCACGCGAAATTTCGCGCGACACGGTGTCTCGCGATCTCCATTAATCGAAGTTGGATCGATCAGAGTTGTGCGAGACGCAGACAGCACGAGCGCGCATCTCTGCCGTGTCTCTTCGTGTCTATGCTGTCTATACGTTTTTCTCTCTTTCTATTTTCTTCTTCCGAGTATACACACCTTTGCCTACATGTTTGTATACGTCTATGCTTGCGCGCGGACGAGTCCAAATTACGTACACTTGTTTGCAGAACGTTTTCAAAGCGTCTTATTCGACATACTTTGCAATGTAGTCGACGTGTAATGGGAAAATTCTTTTTAAGCAATTCTTGAAAGACAGTTTTTCATTGGACATGAGCGTCTTGAAATACGTTAAAAAAAAGTGTCAAAACCATTCCACAAATGAGTACACGGGGAAAGACTCGTTGTGAAAACAGAAAAATTCTTGCAGGTCTCTGCGCTGAGAAAGAATACTTCGCAATTTTTCTGTGGGACATATATTTCTACGAATAAACTTTATATCTCACGAGTCAGTTTTCAAGTATTTTTTTTCTCGTATGCGTATGCAGTCATGCATACATTATATTTCTTTCTCAGCGTATGTAGTCATGCATGCAGTCGTCCTTTCAAACAAGTTTTCGAATAGTCGAGTTTATGCTCAGACGAATATTAAAAAAAATAATAATAATATAATCTCTTTAGCGAAATTTTCTTATACATGACCTCAAAAGGACTTCTAAAAAAAAACCCCCAAAAATATACAGGAAATAGCATTGTAATCAGGGTCTTTTTCTTCCAAGTGTCGAAATAGTTTTCATTTAATCTCTCAGAAAAAAAGAAAAGTTCCTGGGCCCTTATTCTTGAAATAGTTACGTATACGTAAGTTTTACTGCGCAGCTATTTTATGGTATGATTAAACCTGCGCATGTACATACAAAAGGATTCTACTAAGAATTCTGTTTTTTGGGGCGAATGTTTACGGTCGCGGTAACAGAATGACAATATCGTTCCCCGTCACCGAGTTCTCGTCTAGTCCCTATTTAGTTGTGCGAACTGCCGTTCTTCTTCTTCCGCATATATTCAACGATACTCTCGTTGAATCAAAACGTCTCAGACCGGTGCGAGCGGTGTCGACGTCTCCCTTCGAGCAGACGAATGATCGCAAACGGAAGGAGCCCGCACGATCGTTCGAAATCTCGAGTCCTGTCGATCAGGACTCGCGGGGACATAACCTTCTCGCGCTTATCGCGAATACATGAAGACTCACCGGCGTATGTCCAGTAGTCGGTGTTGCACTGCCAGAGCACGGACCAGTCGTTCTCCAGGTCCCGGGAAGTCGCCATGGCCGTGAAGGATCCTCGTCCTCGCGCGGGTTCGCTCCTCTGTCGTGGCACCCGATGAGCGTGGACTTCCCAATTGCCGCGCGCTCCAGCCGTCGTCGCGAGGGAGTCCTCGCGGGATCCTCGCGGCACCCCCCTGTTCCGCGCCTGTCTCCGCGTCGATCTCCCGGCGTTAGTCGCCGGCGTGTACTTCCGCCGATTTCGCACGAGAGATCGCGCGACGATCTACGACGGTAGCGTGCGGTATCGCGCGCGGCTGTCTAACGCGCTCTGCGAGAATGTCCACGTAATCGCGCGGAAATGCGTGCGGCGGGCATTATCGGCGGGAATATACCGCTGGGGGCGACGCGCGAAAGGACACCGGTCCGTTGAGGCACGCGGGCGTCAAAGTAACACACCGTAGCGCTCACCTCACCCGGCCCCGCGTCCCACGCGAGAGCCGCGATCGGCTCCCGTTCCACCACCGCGCGGCCGGTCGCGCGCTTCTCCGTCGCTCGCGCGTCCTCTCTGTCTGTCACGTCGCGTCGTTACGCGGGACGCGACTTCGCGCTGTTTATTTTCATCGCAAGTAACGACTCACCGCTCGCCGCCGGCCTCGCGCGCCCATCGTGTGTAAACTCGCGCGGCTGCTCGCGACCGTTAACGTACGCCCTGGCGCCATTGCTCGACTACGCGTCTGAAGTTCGCCACTCTCGAGTCGGACCGTGAGATACGCTATCGAGAATCTGTGACGTCATGAACGACACTTTAACCTCTCGCTCTGTTATTCTGTCGTTGCGTGAAATAACAAATAATTCGGGTGACATCGACATGAGCGTATCTGGACCGAGCGAAGGAAAGGTCTGATTAGAGGTAAGCTTTGCGTCTCACGAAGAAATGTGTACCGTTGGAAACATTTTTCAATCTGAATATATTATGTGTATTGGCCATATTGCGATAGGTTAGGAACAGAATAAAAGCAATAGTAATAATAAAAAAGGAGATATATATATATATACACATGATGACGGATATTTTTAGCATACAACAAACGTAAGCTGAATGGCAGTGAATCGAGTCGAATAATCCCCGAAGTACCGTAAATTTCCCCTTATCGCCGATTGATATTACCTCCCTTGCAATTTTACAGTACATACTCAGTCCAAATATTGTTATGTCGACGATAACAATTTTTTTCCGAAACACCTCATACAGCTTTGAGTCGTGATAGTGGCTAGCTCCGTGCTTAACAATTGGTTGCGTCGCATTTTTTCTCGCGATGATTGGTCAGCATGAACTTTAAATTTCGATAACATCATCGATCTTGAAGTGAGGCTCGATTATAATCAATAGTTATGACCGACCAATGAGCGGAAAGCCCCACCTTGGTCGAGAGTGCGCTTTCTACTTCCTTCTTAAATGACCAATTACTGTGTCAATATAACAAATTTCTTTCACTTCTTTCTTCTTTTACGATAATGTGTAGAAACGACGTATGTAAAATTTGTCATTATTACTAATATTATTCATTTATATCTGTAAATTGTATAGTATTAAAATTGTAAAGACATGGAACATTGTATTCGTTATAAAATAGTTTTCGACTAATATATCATTTCTTGTACATTTACGGACTAAATATGACTGACTTCTTCACACGTTTCTCACAACTCTCTATTACATTCCACACAATTCTGTCCGTTGCGTATCCAGGTTTCAGATATCATTCTGTGTGACGAAAGGACACGTTGATGTGATCAAGATGAAAAAGTTCATCTTCACAAAGACGAAGACTATTTATTTATTACTACAAACTGAAACACGAAGCAATCGAGTACTCTTTAAAAAATGTAAGAACGTTATTATCCGACGTAAGCACTCCTCATAAATAAGTTTCGCTTAGCTTACACGTTAGATCACTTACACGCTAGCTTAAATGCTACTTTTGTACATTACACGTTTGTACACATAGTAGTGTGTTGTAAACTTCGTCTAGAGATGTCTCTTATAAAAATGCGCGCGAAATGCAATAGAAAGCAGTCTTCCATGTAAAATACCAATATACACGTAAATATATGTGTCTACATTAATGATATAAATAAGAATGATGAGAATGTCGATAGCTTTCGCGACAAGACCAGAAAAGTTAAAGTATAAAATGAGCGAAACGAGTACCGGTACACCACTTTTTGCTATCGACGCGCTGTCACAGATACTCCTCTTCTTGTTGAGTGGCGCTGTCTTAAACTGAATACCATTGATATGTGGGAGAAATGATGGAGAGTACAAATACTTTTCTTCACTCGTTCGTAGAGATGTACATGATTAAATGTTGATTATAATGCAAGGAAATCCATTCCGATCGGGAACTTTCACGGCGTGAGGCGGACCTCTTCCATGGCTGAAATTAGGTTGTCCAATCCGAATAGAAAGCCCTCCTCGTGGTTACCTTCCTCCCAAGGACGCCTGTGCGTAAGCCTCCGTCCGTCGGGCACTACGCGCGTTTTCGCGAAATCGATCAGCCAAACACCGACCTTCTCGCTGTCGTAAATCATGAATATGCTACTGCCAATTACCTGAAGGACAAAATAGCGCACGTGATAACGCATGATCAAAACAAGCTCTAAAAAACCGAATAAACATTCGAGCAAAATCAAATAAACATTCAAGCGACTTGTATAAGATTCGGCGTACCTCGTGGGTTTCGAAATACTCTGACTCCTCGACTTTGGTCCGCAGACTCCTGAGACGCGCGAGGATCTTTCTGCGCGTATCCTCGCGCCTACCGAGGAACTGCCTGATGGTGTCGAGCACCTCCGAATGCGACTTGACCTTCTTGAGATCGGTGATCGGCGGCGCGCCCGGCAGCTTCATCGCCTCGATGCGAAAACCGTGGCTGCAGGTCGAACTTTGCTGCTCGCGGAATTGCATGTACCGTAACTTGGTTACGGCGCGCTGCTCGTGCTCCAGTTGGGCCGGCGCGTCCGGATCGACGGCTATCATCTTCTGATAGAGATCCGGCCTGGCGGTGGTCTTGGATACTTCGGACTCGAGGAAGGTCCGTGTGCCCATCTTGATGTCCATCACGTGGGGATCGTTGAAGCCGAACAGCAGATCCTGCAGCTCGATGAACGTGTCGCCCTTGTACTCGACCTCCCGGTAATATCTGCAATAGAGCGACACAATGCGATAGCACACCTTGTTCACACATAATTTGCACCATTTTATCAATTTTTATTTATAAATCTGTCAAGTACCTCGGAATACAGTCTCGCAGTGCTTCGTCCTTGCTTAGGGTCTCGTAAACAACGCGCTCTGTGTTTTCAGTGCCGCCCGTTCTCCTCTTCCAAACCGTACCGGGTCCCGCAGGAGCGAAACCGTCGGGATGTCCCGACAACTGGAACCAAGACTTCAATCGGTTCTTTAGGAGAACGTCACTGGCTGGCGCCGTCAAGTCCAAAGCGTTCTGCAACATCACCACATCAGCCATCGTCGACGGGGGTCTTTTTTAGGAGAGAGCGAGTACAAGACCAAGACGCGATTGTACGTACCAATGCAAGGAACTTTAACGAAAGGTCCTCGTCCGGCATCGTTGTGTCTGACAAGACCAAGGGGAATTGTTCCATTTTTCGCATGGTGGCCGGGTCATTCGGCAATTTGGTGAACGAGTTGGACGATCTGGAGCCGGTGCTGTTGGACCGGCTGTTGTGGGAGCCCATTGACGTGCTCCGTCGCCATTGACGAAAGGCACTACTGTAAGTGCTGCTACTGCTGCCGCTGCTACCGCTGCTGGTGGACCCATCCTTCTGGCGACGGTGCTCCTTGTTGCCCGTCGAGTCATGATTGCTCAAGCGCGTTTGCTCCTTGCTCGAGGGCTGCAACCAGAGAAGTCTACTAAGAATTTAATCCAACCGGGATAGTGCGTCTCGTTAGGCCGCGTCGCCTCGAAATTTCAGTCATCCGGAACCGGGAATCGATACGAACGGATCGCAAACCGTGACGGGCACGACGGTGTTTCTCACTTCGCTCGTGAGAAGATAGTCAAAGATCGTCAAAGAGGAGTCTTGGGTTGGTGTAAAAGGTTCGCCGAATCAAATGTAGCACGTCCAATTTCGGAGGAGGGAGATGCATGATTTTTACGAATAAAATCAGCACTAACTCGATATTTTTCAGACATCCAACGAGAAAATTCTATCTTCTTTTGAATACACGAACTTTCCGCGAGAATTCAGTAGAAAATTGGCGTGTCCTGTATGTGCGCCAACCTATTACTTTCTCGCGCGAAGGCTGTTTATTATTATTCGCGCGTCGTTATCGCTTCTCAACGCAGACGCTCGATTTCGCGATACGCCGTTCATTTTAATCTCACCGGCAAGGTCCGCGTTATTCGGCCGTGATTTCGGCCTCCGTCCATTATCGGCCATACATCGGCGCAGTGGTGGCTCGTGTTTCCTGTCGCGTGCGAATGCACGCACTCGGTTGTAAAAAATGGCTAAAATGCGAGCCAACAAATTGTGAGGACGCCGTCCCCGACGCAAAACTGACGAACGTGAACTTGTCTGTGGATCTCATTGCGACCGAACGGAGGAAAAAGGAGATGAAAAAAAGACAACAAAAATATAGAGAAAAACGCTCGTTTAACCACGAGTAGAACGCGGAAAGAACTCGAAGCACGATCGTTTCGTAAATAAGCGGATCGCGTTTCATGCCGCCGATTGACGTCAGTACTTTTATTCAAGTTGCACCGTGTCGCCGCAGGGCCGATTTATAGCCGCGGTACGCGACCGCCGCGGGGCTATTGAAATGCCGAGGTTTTTGTATCGATAACGAGATAACGACGCGTTATTTACGCTCGCTAATTAGACAAGTCCGCGCGCGCGGGGAAGTTCAACGTCTCCCGGCGGAATTACAGTGCGCGAAATCACGCTAACTGTGAATCGCAATTCAAAAGGAAACAAAAAAAGGAAGAATAATCTCCGTTGCGATGCGGTTTCTCTCGTTCTCTCTCGGCTTCCACCGCGAAGCGAAGCGGTGAAACGCGGTAAGCACGCGACAGTTGAAAAGTTAATGGGAGAAAAGCGCGATTAGAGATGTATAAAGCACGCGAATGTATACCTGTGAGTAGCTAAAATTACACGCCTACGTTTCAGAAAGACAAACAAGTGTTAAATGAATGTTAATTGTGCGGATTGAGCGTAACAGCGTTGCGTCATGTACGTACGTGCGTGTAAGTGCGATTGCGGACGCGTGATAAGTGGTCTCACCCGTTAAGTTTTGGCGTCGTTACGCGAACGCGCGACAACACACGGCCTATCCATTCATCCATGCATGCCTCTGGGCGAATGCTTAAAATTTCTCGGTGTCGAGGCGGCGCGGTACAGGTGGACCGAGTCATGCGACACAAGTCGCGGCAGATCTCGCGCGGAAGCGCGCGCGCGCGCGCTCGCTCGCAGCCGATGTGTTCCCCTGATTTCTCTCGGATTCGCCGGTATTTCCCTCTTTCTTCTTCTTTCAGCGGTCCGAGTATCCCAACGAAATACTCGCCGGTGTGAGTGAAATGAAACTCGCGCAAGCGGCACGCCGCGGCTCGGTAACAAGTGTATCCGCGCTTAAAACTGTGTCACCGTGCGCCTCGAGCGATCTCGCAGTCGCGTATCGCTCCGCGAAATCATAAGGCATCGCTGCGCGAGGTTTCGTTGAAACTAGGTTGCGCGTTTAACCCTTTCAGCCCCGGCGAGACATATGACGTGTGTCCCGTCGCTCGCAAAATTGCCCGTCTTCTCCTTCTCTCGAATCTTCAGGGAAAGAGAGAGAGGGGAAGAGAGAGAGAGAGAGAGAATTGTGTGCATGTGTTGGCAAATGTATAATTTTGTAGTCTCATTTAATTGATGGAATGACACCACGCTTGGGGCTTGGAAGAAGTAATCTGAATCCTAATGGGTATTTATCGGCAGCAATGGTTTGTCAATAGCGCTTCTTTTAGTCCTGTTCCTCCACGACGAAAACAAATCCGCGCCACGCGGATGCTTATTAATGCGCTCGGGACATCTTCGATGGTGACTGCATAACCGGCGAGAAGCGCGGCGTAACAGGAAAATCTCTCATTATGTTTTACACGTATCCTGTATCAAGGTCCCTACCACATCGTCGCGATTAGTTACTTCGCGAGAATGTTACGTCTACCATTTCACGATCGTGGTTGCATCCGCCTTTCGCGATGAATCGTTAAGGCGAGGCGAGACAAATGCCGGGAAGGACACGAGGCAAGATCCGAGATCTTGAATAAGCGCGAGAAAAAGTTGGAAAGTCTCGAAAGAACGATGAGATACGTCACTGCTCGAACGACCTCCTGTTGCACCGGTCTGTATCGAGTTTCTCTCTCTCTCTCTTTCTCACTCACTCATTCACTCTCTCTCGCTCGCTCGCGTCGTGAAAATTATTTTACAATGCATTGCAAGACACGTGTGTTACGTGAAAAGAATTCAGCCGTTAATTTGTCGACCACGCGCGCGCAATTATGGTTATCGCATCGATACGTATCGACATTTTTGTTCGAGACTGCCTACATTCGTAGGAGTCTGTTCCTCTGTGCATCTGTTGTATTCTCTACCTCCAATATCTCTCCGCCGCGATTTCTTTCGTCACATCCTCTCACGGAGCCGACAGAAATTTGCGAGCAGACATCCGTCTCGTTTCGAGTGTACGGAGACGGTGTAGCGTAACGCACGCAGCTGAGGAGAACGGATCTACGATAGATGCACGTTCTGCGAACGAGATGGAATCATGGACGCGTAGCAGTGCTAAGTGGGGTGCGTGTACAGCGGGTCAATGATCTTCCGTTGGAAACCGGGTGGTTGAATTATCCGAATGGCGGCACATGGCACACTTGAGCCTTGACTTCTTTTCATTCATCAACCGCGGACACCAAGGTGCTCCAAGTCACGGCAATTGATTTATGAAAACGTCCACCCTGGAGAAAAGGGTGGATTTCGCATCGGCGCAAGGCGCTTTTCCGCACAGAAATCGTTAACGATATACTCGAGCGACGCCGTCGGTTGTACGAATTTAAAATAAATACATACAGCTGCGTAGATATGTGTGCGTATGTGTGTATATATGCGTGCATGCAGTTGTGTGCACGCGTGTCCGTGAGTTTCGTTTACATTAATCACATATTTCGCATTCCATTTCGCCGGTATTTGCCGCGAGTGTCAGCGTTTTACCTCGAATTAATACGTATTAATTTTTCGCCCGAGACGCGCGGCAAAAGCATCTTTATTTCTCTCGCATTTCTTCCCGGGCGCCTTTTCGCTCCCCTTTTCCCGACCGTACGCCGGGAAAGAGACGGGGAAGAGGGGAGGTAGGAAATGCCGCTTTCCACGCGTTGACGCAGGCGGCCGAGAAGGAAAGGCGAGAGAAACGGGCACAGAGCGAATCCTGCGTGCGTGCGTGCGTACGTGCGTGCGCTCGACAGCACACGCTGTCCGGTGGGCGCGTACCTTGTTGAAGCGAGTCTGCAGAAGTCGCTCATACTGGTCGACCGCACGCAGGCAGAACCTCGTGGTGAACGCTTCCATTCGTGCTGGCAGAGGCGCGTGACACACGCTGCTTGACATCATTCATCCGTTTGTAGCGAGCACAATGTCGACGCTGCTGCACATGCACGCGCGATACTTCGGCGGTGAGAGAGCCGGCACTCCTCGCGCACGTAGACGTACGGAGAGTCGCAGATGGACAGATGGACGGACGGGACGCGGCGCGGCGCGACGTACTCGGAGAGGATCGTCCACTACAGTGCGTCGAACCTAACCTCCTTCGTCGAACGAGCCGACCGGCGCAGGGGCCGCAGGGTTGACGAATGTCGCGCGGGGCGCCGCGCAGTCCGCGACTACCCTGCCACCGCTGACGCGAGGCACGCGCCGATTGGTCGAGCTACGTTCTTCGCTCTCTCTCGCGCTCACGCCGCATTCTTCTCGCCCCGTGCTTCAGTCGTTCCTTCTCACTTCCGTTAAGCGCTGTCGCCTCCGCTCTCGCGCGCCGTCCGAGCTATCCTTCCGCTCACCTCGCCGTACTTCCCGTGTCTCCGTTCCCTTTGCGCGTCCTCATATCCCTCTTTCTCGCTCTCCCTCTCTCTCTCTCTCTCTCTCTTTCTCTCGCTCGCTCGCTCACTCGCTCACTCACTCACTCGTGCTATGTCACCTCCTCCTTCTCCTCCTCCTCCTCCTTCCACGCCGACGTCGCCCGTTCGCCCGAACGCTTCTGCGTGCAACTTCACTGCTATGCGCGCCGTGCAACGAGACGACACTCCGCGTCGCGTCGTAACGTCACCGCGCGATGCGTTCGTGTATACCGAGAGATACTGAGCGACAAGAGAACGCGAATGTAGTTTTATCGGTGCGTTCTCCCTCCCCCGAGCGCGCGCGGGTCTACCGCCGCCCGAGCACATCGGGTACGCAACGGAGCGTAAGTCGTTGGCAATTTGCGGTTAGGAGGAGGCTGCGGGATAAATAAATCGGGCCCCCTTTTTCGCGCGCTCGACCGTGAGTGTGCGCCGTTCGTCTTTAGGTTAGACCAAGTATGCGCGTATTTTTCATATTCGGAACAGAATAACGGCTCCCGTATCTCGTTTGGTAACCAATCGACGTAATTGTGAGGCCGCGCGCTCTCACGCGTTTACGTCAATCCGCTTTCAATTAAAGGCGCGTTGATACCGTTATCTTCGTGAATTTAGATTGTAAGCGGAATGGCGATTCGCGGGAAGCCGGCGGTTGGTGCTCGTTTTCGAAGGTTGCGTCAGCGAACACGGGATCTTTCCCCGCGATTTTGCCCCGTGTTTGTCATTCTTATTACCTACCAGCTAACAATAATGCTGCATCGATGTTACAATTTTTCTTACTCAACAATGTAATTGTGTTACGTACATGCGTTATATTACACTCGCATTGCCGAGTGTGAAATTATACCATTGGATATAACTGGCGTTCAGCAGAGAAAACTGCTTTGCAACTGTTGTAAAATTTGTGAATTTGATCAGCACTTAGATGTAGGCAAGATATGTTAAGATTAAGAGCACACACCGTATTAGATATGTCAAGATTAAGAGCATACACCAATCGGATTCACTAATTTTATAACAGTTACACAGCAGCTTTCTCTGCTGAACGTAGCCATTGACGTAATGCTATACCGAACAAAGGTCTGAAAAACATCTCAGACAATGAATAGCTGTCACCTGAAACTTATCTCATGCACATAATACTCCAAATTTTTATTCAGAGTTAGATTCAAGTTTTCTGATTGAATTATGATATGTGACATTTATATTTGTAATTGCGCATAATTTAACGGAAATATCTCTCATCTAACTTAGAAAATTAAAATCTAAGTATTTAATTTGAGACGAATTTCAAGTAATAACTACTGATACGAGCTTAAGAGCGAACCTTAGCAAAAAAAGTCGAAAATAAAGGCAGAAACCAATCGGATCTCGCGCTGATGATCAGATGGTAGTCGGCAGTTTCTGCTTTTCTATCAGTTCTGTTTGGCTTCTGCCTTTCTGTTTTCGGCTTTCCTGCTAAGATATGAATTCGCCCTAAGATTTATTTTAAGCTCGTATCGCTCGCCTCAAGTGAGATATTTGAGTTTAGAGGTGGATATGAATCTTTCAGTACAACTGCGATTGCATGTATAATATCACGCGTTTTAACCGTTGTTTTTATTAACAACGTTTTAACTGAAAAACTCAGATCTAATTTCATCAGATCGGAATATCTCCAGCGACACAAGCTTCAAGTAATTGCTATTAATACAAATTTTAGACATTTGTGTCATTTGGGACGTTACAGTTAATTGATGTTTACTGGGTACTTGAAAGTCATTCGCATGTTCTTTGGTCGATGAGTCAGCTTGCAGGATGTCCGACGGATTCGCCTAACGTCTTTCGCGTAAAGCGTCTTGACGTAAAACGATTTATCATTCGCGGCGGGAATAATGCTTTTTCAGAATTCGAACCGGATATCGCGCGTCGCTGATTCATTTCCGGTCGCAATTCTGCGACGGCGATGCAGCGAATCAGGATAAATCGTACTGAGTCTCGCGTTCGACGTGCGCGAAGCGTAAAACGGAACGATTCGGGTAGCGTTCCACATTTTTGTTTCTCTCTTTTCCAGAGAGAACCGTTCGGGCGCCGCGCTTCCACCTGCGATCCGACGATCTACCAAGCCCCGTGCGCTCGTCGTGGATTATAAATCGTCCCAAAAGTGGGCCTCGTTCGCCGGCCTAGCGCGCGCTCGTTCGTCTCTCGTTGTGGCTCCTCAACCTCTACCGATTAACGTCGCTATCTCGCGCGCAATTCCGGTCATCGGCGGTGCTTTCGATATGCCCGTTGACGTAAGTCGCATTATCGGGGAGAAAGTCGACGCCCGGCTATCCGCGCCGGCCGTTTTTACGGTCGCTTCGTGAATTTTGGGAAATTAGAAACGCGCTGCGCGCTCACGTCACTGCCAGTGAAACGGGCCACGCTTTCGCCTCTGGCTGAGACACGCGCGCGCCGATACTGCCCGTTAATTCCGGAGCAGACACGTGGGTGACATGTGTCAAGTAGGTGTTCTTCTTCTTTTGCTTTCTTGATATATCTCGCGTCGGCGATAAAATTCATGATTCAAGCGACCTTCCACGAATTGATGTTACAATATCGTGTTCCAGGAACGGTGCGGCAACGAAGCACACGAGAAGTTCGTCTGTGGCAGCTCGCGGATATTGTTTCCGACGAAAGTCTGATGGCGCACGTGGTGGTGCGTCAACCCGCCCGCTCCGCTCCTCCGCGAGGCGTTCGCTCGAGCCGAGGGTGAAGCCGGGCTAATTCTTATTCCTGGCGTCATGAAAACGTGACGGTCGCTTTTATCGTCAGCTGCGCTTGGCGCGCGAGAGCCAAGGGTGATCGACCGCGAGGTACATACGGTGCACGAGAACGGAGGTGCGCCTCTGTCACCGTCATCTGACTGATGAGATACGATCTCGCGCGTGTCCTCGCGCTTCCACGAAGAGAGCGTGCCGGAATGATACGCCGTAATCCGGCCAAATATTTGAATATTCCGCCGGGGATCCGTGACGCTGCAAGATGCTTGCGTCGTGCTACGTCCACGCAAGGTATCACGGTAGAGCGATAGTTGAAAACACACCGCGCCGCGCTATGCATCCGTATCGGTGTTTACGAGTCTACTGGCGTCACCCGATACGGAAAATTTACTCATTACAGACGTCGTTGTGTGTGCGAGCCGCGATCGCGGCGAAAATGAAAAACTGATCGTCAAAATAGAATAATCGGAAATCGAGGAGGCGAGAGGGATTGACGCAGTTATTAAAATTATATCGAGAGCAAAAACCGTAGCAGCCGACACGCTCAGTTTATTTTCGGCACTCTTGCGCGGATTTCATCAAATGTTGAGGCGCATGTTAAGGGGATTAACAGGAAATAAATAATGAATGATAATCGACAAATCCTCCTTACATCTTAGCAGAGCTAAGCAGTTACTTGTAACCGCTATCATTGTAGCTGATACCGTTACTCTTTTTTCGATAACGATCGTTACTTCTTCCTGTTTGTAATGGCAACGTCGTATTTTTACAGTAATGGTAACGAATTCAATCATTATCATTGCTTTTATCGTTACTTTAGTTATCTCTATTCAATAGGTGATGCACTGGTCGCGCGCGCTGATAACATGTGTTAGGTATTCTTGATTGGATAGAAATATCTCGATGTTCGCTGAACGACAATATGTAGTTTTATCTTATCTTTCATGTAAAAATAATTATTTGTACAAAGTTGGATTTTGCAATCTAGATGTTAAAAATTTTTAGTAAATTTAATAATAACAGATACGCTTAATATAATTCTCTCTTTTTTTTGTAAGAAACAAAGTGCATGTGTGAACAAGGGTGTATGTGTGTATTACACCAAGTATACCTATTATTAAATTTATTAAAAATTTTTAGGAACCTCAAATTGCAAAAACTGACTACATTAAAAATAATAATTTAAACTCAAAAACAATAATTTCATTTTAAAATCAATTGCGTATTTTATTATAAAAAAGTAACAAACCGTTATTTTCCTAGTAACGCTAACGCGTTACTTTTTTTTAAGTAACGTTCCCAACTTTGCACTAGTATATAATCTAGTAATATAAACTAGTATAAAATCCGCGAAGGAGTGCTGTAAACTGGAAGCACCAATCAGCGATTGCTGAGATTCTAAATTAACCTGGACATATTAAACCTGGTTAATAAATCTGGACATTAAATACGCCTCTTAAATTTCAGATTCCATTTTTATTATATGAACTTTATGACGATGTTTCAACGTTGAGAATCAGGAAGACACATTTAGGTCCGTATTAATAGTTTCTGCTTGAAACTTATCTCAAGTGAGATGCTTAGACTCGTATGAATAGTCATTATTTGAAACTCGTCTCAAGTGATATATTCAGATTTCAATTTAGAGTTAGATGAGTTTTTTTTTTCAATTAAATCGCCATTTACAGATATAAACGTCAATCTTATCGTAATTCAACCGAAAAACTTTCTAACTCTGTGACTCTAGATAAAAATCTAATTATTTAAATCTAAATATTACCTGAGACAAGTTTCAAGTGATGACTATTAGTACAGACTTTAGACATGAATTTAAATAGAGCTAGATGTGAGTTTTATCAGTTGAGTACCACGATTACAGATGTAAATATATCACATAAATATATCATAAATGAGCAGAGAAACTTACCACCTAACAGCTAGTAAAAATCTGAGTATCTTATGTGATACCAATTTCAGCTGATAACTATTAACATGGGGATTTAACGTGTTCGAATACACCGAAGAATACTTCAAAAATTTATCTGTGAAATCAATACTTCATATCCCACAAATAAATGCTCGAGCATTTATTTCCTCAGTGCACACGCGTCCAGAATATGGACGCTTTCCCGTATTGTTCTCGCATTCGTATTCGTTTTTTGCTCGAGAGACGACATGCAGGCCGATACAATGAGACATGTATATTCGCTTTCCGCGACATTCGCTGCGTTAATACGTTGAACTATCGCAAAATGTGCGCGCGTGCAAGCAAATCGACGAGCGAAAACTCGACGTCGTGGCGCAACGCAACGGCGGCCGTTTCGCTCGGCGACTCTCTTCCCGCAACTTTTCTCCGACACGACGTTCGTTTAGGTAATTTAATAGAGCATCTTTAACGAGATTGCTTCCTCTCGACGTTAATCGAGCGCGACTTCGCTCCTCGAATCGCCCTTGGACGTGCACGCCCACGCGCACCGACAATGATGATAACAATGTCCGACGTTGACGAGCGTACCGGCGAACGTGTGTCTCGCCTCGTGAGTTTTACGTCGGCGTCTCGCGTCAAATCGCCGCATTAAACCCTTGCCGAGGCTTTTCCTTTTCTAACGAGAGCGCGAACGACGACGAGTTTGCGAGCGATCTGTCGAGCGACTAACGAAAGTGGACGTCTGACATCTAGCTGAGCGATCGACGTCATCTCGCTGTCAACAATAATAAAAAATCCGGCAGATGATTCTCCTAAGAATCTATTTCTTTTCAATCCAATTGTATAAATGCTGATGTATTGTCTCGAAAAAAGAAAAAAGCACTACATCCAGGTCAGCCGGAATTCGTCGCGCGACGAATCGATGACGACTGTTTCATAATTAACCGTGACGATAATTACCAATTCGACTCTGTGCTGCTGACCTGATGACGCCCATAGATCACCCGACATCTTCTTATTCACCATACATCGTATAACGAGAAAAAAAATTATGAGGTAATTCGTAATTTGTGAGCCGTTTGCCGGAAGTCACGACCAACCGTGAAATACGTAGTATCTTCGGTCTCGATAGTTGTTTTATCGCGCGATGAACACGACGAATTTATCTTTTTTCCTGCCTTCGCTTCCTCTGGCGTTATCTAATCCCATACGTAACGGAAAACTGGTGCAACGTGCGATTATGTGGTGCCTCTTTCTTTCTCCCTCGAGCGTTCGATGGTTTTGTGTTTTAAGGGAAAGTTCTTTAGATAATTAAAAAAAATTAAAATGAATTTTTTTACCTAACGCGAACGTGGTTTTATATTAGATTCCATGATTAGATGCTTTTAATTTTTACGACTTCACTTTGAAAAAAAAGGATTCATGATTGATCTCCACGTTGGCCGTCGAGGCTTTTTTTTAGGAAGGGATTCTGGTTTAGATGGCCGAACGAACAAGAGGTTTTTACGAATTTTTTTTAGAGAAATGAATAAAATATTAATACTGGATTTGGACCATACTATTCATCATTATTTTAATTTAAAAAAAAATTACCTTAAGAAGTAAAAATTATGTCGAGGTTCTTTCTGCTAAGCACAGTGTCGCCGGACACCTCTAAGTTGGTGGACGACATTATAGTTAATTAATTTATTAGAGCTCGTGCAATAATCTGAAACAAATGGAACCAGAAAATCTAAAAACTGTATTAAATTTGCAAATTTGAATAAGTCCTATATTAAGTTTGAGTACAAATTCTTTGGCAAATTTTCAAAATTACTTCCCAGGTAAAAGAAGTTGCTATTCTAAATGTTCATTTTCCCTTTAAACAAAAATGCAATTTTGTTATACTTAAAACAATGATAAATAATATGGCCGAAATCCTTTATATCGACATCTTTATTTATATCCTTGAAAAGAATCTACAAAATTTCCTATTTGTTCGACTATCCAAACCAAAACTTGCTTCTTTAAAGAGAGACCTCGAATCTGAAGATCGAGAGATGGCGAATCTGAAGATCGATCGTAAATCGTTTTCTTCTCAGACACGTTAAAATTGAAAACATATGGAAATTCATGTAATGTGAAAGCACACGAAAATGTTCGTTTCTCGCGCGTTCACGCTGGGAGAAAAGACTCATGATCGCTTCTTCCTTGAAGCGGCCCGACAGATTTTTGTTCGACGAGTGAAAAACAAGCGTCAACACGTCACTTTCGATTCGCGCAAGTCTATTGTTATTTTTACGAGCCGTTAACGTCTTTGCGCGCGATTAGCAATTTAATGAGACCGAAGAAGACGAATCGGGCGTTGCATCAAAGACGTTTAAAAATAAAATTCGGCGGGTCGGAACAGGTTCCTCGGGGTCCCCGGGTCCCTGGTTCCTGTTTCTCTGAATTCAGAGAACCCCCGGCCACGTCGACAGGCCAAACGGATGAATCTCTGCGAGAGAGTCGTATATACAAGAATAATAATAATAATAATAATAAGCCGCGCTCGGTCGCAAAAGCGTAGAGCCGCGACGCGACGCGACGCACGCGGGTAATATAACGCGCGTTATTTACGATATTATTTACACATATAGAAACGAGACCGGACAATCGATAGGCGATATCAATTCCAATTCTGTCGTCTCTCCGATACGCGACTTTAGACACTGCACATGTGTACACGTGACGCATCGTTCGCACGTTCGCAGAATAAAGGACAGCGATCGCCCGCGCCCGGCGACAATTATATCCATTGACGTCGACACGTTCGTTATTTTTCCTTTATTTTTCCTTTATTTCTCAGCAATATTCGCTCTTTTTCCCTCGCCCATAGAGCTGCTCGGCCCTAAAACGGCGGATAAGCGGATACGTGCATGGTAATACGATCAAGAGAAACTCGACTATTCTCTCGCTAGCGGTATCTTCGGCTTGAAATTCGTGCGTCAGCATTGGCAAGGCACGGCGACGAGAGCCGAGGAAGAGTCGCGCGAAAGCGCTAACGAGCCGCCACTCGCCGGGCAAACAGGCCGCTGCTAAACGTGGAAATTTTCGAGCGCGATTTCGCGTTCCCGGGTTCGACGGACGGCACGACAACGTGGGGATTTTTAACGTCTACCCGGCGCCAATACTCGTTGGAAAACAGCCAGTCAACTAGTCGACCGGCCAGTCAGATTCGTTATCGTCGTAGAAAAATCTGCGGATCTGCCACGACGAGCGCGTCTAATCGCGGAGAAAAATTACAACGAAGAATTACAGAGAAACGGAGAGAAAGAGAGAGAGGGTGGGAGGAAAGGAAGAAGGGAGGGAGAGGAAGAGAGACGAGGAAGAGAGTCGAAAAAGCCTTGTCTCGTTCGCCGCTCTCTCGCTCTCGCGGTCGGTCCCACGCGCGCGTACACGCGTACGGGGCAAGGCGGCATAGCAGCGGTATGCGTGGCCGCGGAGCGAGCGCGCGGAGGTCACCATTGACGCAAATCTATCCGAGTGTCACGTGAGCGTGCCCGCTGGAACACAATATACACGCGATGGACGGCACGACCGCTCCACCATTCCATTAAATCTATGCCTCCGTATGTATTCGCAGCTAGCGATGGGCCCGAGTCGGCTCGCGCATCGCGCGCGACGAACCTTGAAAAACGACGGCCGGGCGAACTTACAGGCGAGGCGCGGAACAGGTTTCGGCCGAAGACACGAGAGAGACGAACGAGAACGAGGCTGAGAGCACATATCCGCGGACATACGCTCGTTACACTCGTCCCGGGATCAAACAGGATCCGTGCGGAGAGGCTCGAAGAAAAATCGCCGAGTGTCGTTCCCATCGCTATTCGAGGACGCCGGAGCTGAAAGAGGGAGGCCTGGCGCGGGAGGCAGAAGAGGTGGATATGCACTCCGCGGCCCACCCACGTTACGATATAATGGGCAATTAATGGCCGGTGGACCGGCCGATCCGCTGAATGCCAATCGGCCACGGGAAGCGCCACGCTGGCCACGAAGCCTGTTGTTTAACCCTTCGCGCTCTCTGCCTCTGCCTCGATCGTGCTCTCCATATGGCGACGCGATTCGCGAGAGGTCTTGGCTATAATTAGAACACCACGCTCGTATATGAAGCGTGTTAAGCCTTTTTAAGCGTTTCGATTTTCAACGCGCCTCTCGCTCGCTCGCTCGCTCGCTCGGTCCCTTCGTCCACAATTCGCGCCAATGCCGTGGTACATTTCTCCGCTCGCGCGATTTTCAAATGCCCGACATTTTTCACACGAAAGGACAGGTCCGGAGAGAACGAACTTCATACATATACATGTCGCGGCACGTCAGCAAGGACCTTGCACTAACCTAGTTCCAGTCCTGCGAGATAGAAGTCGAGCGTGGTTCGACACGCTCATGCGACGACGGAGTATCCTTTACTTCTTATCATTCTTTAATTGGGTCAATGTCGCCGCACGACGATCCGTTGCTTTCTTTAACCAGCCTCATAACGCCTTCGTATACCTGCTGACCTGAAAGTCGACCGATCGACTCGTCGGCAACGAGCGGGGTGGCACGGCTCGACTCGACTCGGCTCGGAGGAGCGCTTGCTCCGTATGCGTGATATCCTAGAAATATATATATCCGTGTTCTTAATATATTTCACCATCCGCGTGCGCGTAGATTACTATACCGTGACGCTTACAATTGTATTCTTAGCGCTAAATGGGACCTCTTATCTTACGGCTTGTTCTTCATTGCCGTGTTTGATCTTCCGCGTCTTTCATTCTCGAGCTTAGCAACAAGATTTCACGTCACGCGATTGTTAGCTAATATAATGCCAACTCACCGATGGCTTACTCGAGATACCTTCTTTCCGAAAGATCATCGCCACACTTTTCTCATCTGCGCACCGTCTGTGCGACGGCTCGCTTTATCGCGGCAGAACTCTCTATTGAGATTTTCAGCCTTTATAGCTCCCGAAGAATGTTCAAGGAAAAAAACAAACGGCTTTTCGCGTCTGGCACGGTGCGACAATGCCGTCGGCGTTAACGGCGGATGGCACAATAGTGTTGCAATGCCGCAGCATTATGCAACGAGCAACGCTATCGTGTACAGTTGGCGATGGCTCCGTGGTATTCAAGCCCGGCTGAAAGCAAACACGGCGAGAAACGTTCCATGAGCGAAGACGCGCACAAAACAACGAGGATATTTCCCGGAGAATATCTTTTGAAAAGAATTAATTTCATGAGAAACTCCCCGATCGAATGCGAGAGATCGTTCTCCCGATTGGATCAATAAGCAATACAATTCGCAGGCAGGTCTCTGCGGAATGTTAGCGTCCGCAGCAGGAGTGTTACTTGCGCGCGCTTCGCTCATCGCAGAAATTAAGTCACATTATCTTCAATCGTCGAGCGCCTGCAAATGAAATCCGAGGAGCGCGCGTGTATGGCGAGGGAGGTCTATTATCTGATTTATAGTCGTGCTTGCGGACGATCTCGTCGTACGAAAATATATTCAACGTCTCTACAATATATTAATGTATAATATAGAGTCTGATATCACACCGGAACGCGTTATACGCGCCAGCTGTAACATTGATTGAAAAAATAGTTATGTACAACATTCGCGAGCCTGTCGGCTATTTCAACTAAAAAAAGTTTCGCTCAGCGAACACAAGAGTTGTGCAACCATTGAGCAAAAATTATCTTCAGAGATAATACATGTCTTCAGAGATATTTTTGGATCCATCGATTACATCCATCTTCTAAGAGTCGATCACTCAACCGTAGTACTCGCCGAACGCAGTCTATATCGTACCACTGTTTTTCGCTTCGACCGGACTGAGGATAGTCAGTACGTATTGCAGAACCTTGACTAGCTCTTGTTCCTGTTTGGTAGCGTCAACGCTCACCAGCGAGAATCTACCAAGAGCCTCTCGTATGCTCTGGGAGAAGCCGGCGCTTCGCGCGATGAGCTTTCCCTTCTGGTTGTTGCTGATCAAGGACCACAGCATGGAGCCAGCTAGATTAACTTCGCAGGGCGAGCCGTTCTTGAAAATGTCATGCAGCAAGTTGATGAAATCCACTAGGAAAATAGCGAAGATATATAGCGCAGGCCGGTGACAAGTGGCGTTACATCACATCGTATTATTGCATGTTAACAATTGTACCGGTTTGCTCACCTGAGCTAAGAAGTCGGGGTCTATTTGTCATGTTGAACGACAAATTGCGTAGTATCGATATTGCGAGAACTTTACTCGACGACGAGGAACACTTTGCCAAGTTGATTAACACGTCCAAAGCGTCGACAGCCTAAAATATTGCTACGTACTTATTAAGAAATTAATGAGCGTTCGCATATTTTACCTTCGACACACACAACTGTCCCTCCTCGTAGTAAGTAAAATCTATTAAGAATTCCAGGCAATACATTTCCACCAATGGCCATGGCTTCGCTCTTTTAGTTACAATGGGATGTATTTTAGTAAAGAACTGAAGGAGGTTACCCTGCAATCCATGATTAAATAATGCTTAAAAACAACACATATTCACGCGAAGCTTTATCGTGTTAAATTCATCTTTTATAAAATATAAGAATGAACAATAATTACCTTTGAAATACAAACTCTGCACTCGTGCACGTGCACCGCGTTTCGTAGAATGTGAAATGCAAAGTGCAACTTATGATTATCGAAAAGTTTGTCGGCTTTGTCGATTTCTTTGCACGTCACTTGCATGATAACGTGTATCAATGCCAGTGTGTTTGGCGTTTTTCTTAATCCACTTCCCGGCAATATTGTCGTTAACGTTAAAGATTGCGCAGCTAGAAACAAGAGAAATCGAATAGAGTTTGTCAATGAAGAAAGACTGCGTAACAAAGTGAGAAATCATATCTGACTCAACGCTGATGATAATTAGCCGAGCTTACCAAGAGTACATTTCGTCGTGAACGTCGCCAGCAGCTTCAAAGCGGACGTTGATACTGTTTTGTTCAACGCTATCCAAGCCCACAATTTGTGCACCACGTCCGCTAAGCCCTCCTTCATCAGGCTTTCCTTAACGCACGTGTCTTCGTACATGAAATTCATGAGAAGCATAAAGATGCAGTTCATATCGTGCAGCAGAGGATGAGTCTGTCAAAACAGAAAAAAATGGATTGTTATAGATTTTTGCAATAGAAATCGTGCAGGAAACCACAACGGAAATTCCGTGTGCGTACAATCTGAACAATAGTCAGTGTGGGAAAACCCTGGCATCTCATACCTTTCTTCCCGCTTGCTTCTTATAAAGTTCGAACGGTTGAAGATTCAGCTTGACGTATTGTTCTTTTAAGATCATTAGCGATGTCTCGGACAGATTGCCCCGTAGTCCTGTTCGTTTCGCCTCTTTCGACACGCAAAGCAGATTGGTTAAGGCGCCCACAATGAGATCCTTATCTTCCGATTGTTTGTAACTCTTCTTAGTGTAGCTGTGCGCGATAAAAAGATGCAGCAGGAGTTCGCACAATTCGCTACCTATCGTGATCTGCTCTTGACTCGCTGCCTTGTCGTCTGTCGGACGTGACGAGTCCTTCTTGTTTTCATTCGACCTTCTTGAATATGCGTTCGCGTCCCTTATTGATAATTTGTTCACGCTCGATATAACATCTCGTAAGATGCCGTCGCTTTTGTTCTCAGCCGCGATATACCTCACGCTAGTGTCGAGCACCGTCTGCAATGAGATGCTGCTTCGTCCCAGAGAGTCCTTCTGAATCTCCTGAGACAACAGAAAAGCCAAGCAACTGATAGCACTCATTCGGAGATCTATTGTGGAGTCCTTAATCGCTAGGCAAATGGAAGCCATCACTGTTTCCGCGCCGCACAATTCCAGAGCGCTTTGAATGGCCTCGAAATGCTGGTCCTCCGTTAAAGAGAGCACGGCTATGAAGTTGTAGATCTCCGTCCACAATCTGTTGCGCAGATGTGTCAAGTGTGATTCAGTTGATTCTACGATCAATGCATGAATTAGAAGATTCGCGAACTACTTATCATTGCAAGATCAAATATTTATATCGAGTAAGCTTAAGATACATACGATACAAATTGATGTCCAAAAGACAAAACAAGATATAGAGTGAATCCGCGGAGAAGAGAACCACGGTCATATACTGGTTGCTGTGAGTGATGCAGTTTGTTAGAACCGTGCAGATATTAATATACATCTCTAACGTGTCGGAATAATGGCTCAAACTTCTCCTGCTTCTAACATCTTTGGGAATTTCAGTCAGGCATCTGCAACGAAACCAAATGAAATAATGTATTATAAGTACAATAAGATTATTTAAAATTATATTTATATGTGTGTGTTACAGTAATTATTATTATACAAACATGTACATACATACCCGAATAAATACTTATCGATGGAATGTTCGTAGATTTGCGCGACCACCTCGTGTTGTCCAATAAATATCAAATTGTTCAATAAGGCGCAAGCAGTTGCAATAAGTGAGGGTGTCGCTATTAACTGCATACAAGTATCCACGTCTGTTACATCCGAGTCTCGGACGGAAACTAAAAAACACCAATGAATCAGCTAGATGAATACATAAATTCTGGAAAAAAATAGCTGATGTTTTGCTATACAATGAAATGATATAATTACAGGGTTGTAATTCATCCTGACAATTGTACAAATGCGACACAATGCGTGGTACCAATGAAATGTAACCAGACTGCACGGAAGTTGCCTTGCCGTCGTTTCCTTGATATTCCGACTCCTCGGCATCCAACGTGGTTAACGTATAGATATTGGCGCAGAGAACACTGATCTCATGATATGTGTTGCATTGCTCGACGTATATTAAGATGGCTTGCGGTTGCAAAGAATCCTCCTGCGCGCAAAGAAATCATCTCTTAAAGTATGTACTTCGAGTGGACGATGTTCTCTCTCGCTTACACATTGGAAGGCCACGGAATTCTTCACCATGTTGCAAAATGCAATACACGCTTGTTCCCTCACTAAGCAAGATTCCTCACGATTTGTGATGCACTGCAGCAACGTGTGGCACAAATCGCTCGGTGCCATCGCGATCGCGTTGAGGAGCTGCGACGCGGTGTGTAGCGTATTCATCAGACCCGCCAGTAACTGTAAAGCTGAAGCGCGAACCAGAGGATCCCTGTTTTGCCATAACACGGGTAACCAGCTCAACGACCGGCCTTCTTCGTACCAAAATACTATCCACGACTGCACCCATTCGACAGATTTGCATTAAAGACAATTAATGCTAAATAATCTTATTCTATTTATAATAATAACACATACTAAAATACATACACTCTCTATCAAATTGAAAGTACTTACGCTTTTATTAAAATTCACTTGCATTTGATATAACGAATGATTGAGACATATTATCGAGTTCCTTGTTATCGACAAGCCCATAAAACTAACAGTACCAGCACCGTGAAACGATATAATTAACTCGATTAGCGTATTGCAAAGAGATACTAGTAGGTTCCTATGATTTTTCCATTCGCACTGTCCGATCAAATACGTCAAACATGTTAGCAACCAGTCAAGATAAGCTATAATAAGCACAAAAAGAAAAAAAAAAGAAATGATAATTCTGATAGCACATTTTACACAATTAAATATATACAACAGAGAGATTTTTATTACTATAGCGAATACAAAATCATATAAATCTAGAGAACGAGTACAAACCGAGATTGTAGAAATGTTGCTGATCTCCGAAGCACAATGTTGAAACAACAAACTCCACGAATCGAATCCACGTAGTTTTAGGTTCGTCGTTAGATTTCTCCAGCTTTTCAATCGCCGAGCATGTACGTACCAACTTAAGTATGGATTGGTGTACGTCTTGATTGTCAATTTCCAAATTCTTAAACAAATCCGCCAACGATCTCGTCATATTTTTCATTATTTTTCCGATCCACGAGCTCTTCCCTAAAAGTATCAAAGAAGGATTTGATATAATGATGTTCTTAATATAATTTGATATTCTTAATATAATTTGTATTGAAGAAACAACATTTTTTTGTAATCTTACCACTCTTTGCAACATTCAGATACAATTGTAAGAAAATTAGAACGTCTACGAACAAGTCGCAGTCCTCTTTGCTCGTGGGATGCGACGATAGAAACCGCTCGAACGTTTGCTCCCACGGCAACGAGTCGATATCTTTTTCATCGTCACGTGCGACCGCTTTATAAAATCTCAGATACCTGAAAAAGTCAATAACGAGACCAATTAGTTCAAATAGATGAATCAATAAATGCTAATAATAGCAGTAACGATCGTCACACATTAATAATAAATACTAATAATAATAACTTACATTGTAAGGTAATCTAACGCACATATAACGCTATAATGCGTAGTGGAATTTTGAATGTTGTAGAGTTGCAGTTGACAACAGTATTGAGGGAAGCTATATCGCAGAGAAAGGAAGTCATTTTCAAGAATCATCAATTTCGATGCGATTTCGGAGTCATTTAAGTCCTCTAAATGTTTCCATAACATGTTTACACCGTCGTTCCACTCCCATGTCCAATACTGTCGGATAAAAGTTTGAGCCACCGAATTGCTGCCATGAAGTACTATAAAGTTAAAACGAACAGAATTTTATTACTTTACATACAATCGATAACGTAGTCTCCATTTAAGAGGCCTTACGAATACAATTAAAAAATTACTCACACGACATGTTGGATCGCCTGTGTATACTAGTCTTCCAATGAGATCTGCAGACAAACGGCAATTTCATATTTGTCAGAACAATACAGGGCAGCGACATGTGCGATGTAACACTATTTTCCACGTCTTTCTCATTGACTTTTACGATATATTCGCTATATAGAAGTAAGCATAGTAGTTGCGCACCGTCAGATTTCACGCATTCGTTATTTGGGAACAGGAAGAGGCCTGAAATACAATGAGTTGTCAGCATAAAATTGGGAAAGATTAAAACAATAATGAGAAAGAGAAAAAGATATGATGAGAAAAATATATATACTTCTTATGATATTGAAGAGAATGTCAATTTGGATAGACAACTCGTATCGTACGGAATATTCGAAAGATGCGAGTTGTTTCAATATGCTGATTATCGGTATCGCAGAATCTGGATAATTCACGTAATCCTTCTCTACCTAAAAATAACATTCTGAAATCAAATAAGAAGTATCTACTAATTGCTTTTATAAAATACAACTTACCAGGGCTCTATTAAAAATATCCAATACTAGAGGTAGTCCACCTTGATTAACGAACAATTTGTGCAACGACGTGTCGGAAAGCATCACGCTAATTTGTACTAATGCGGATTTCCGTATCTTTGGATCTACATTTGGCTCGTTCAGCATTTCTAGCACTGATAACATATTGCTCCTCTGCAAATAAAATATTTTTGTAAATATTTTTAATTATATATATATATATATATATATATATATATATATATATATATATATATATACACCTAAAAAAAACAAAAACTAAAATATAGAGCGAAATGGGGTTTTTAATTAAGTAAAGGATTACTTAAGTAAGGATTAATTAAGTAGAGGAAATATACATATATAAGACTCTAAAATATTCTGAATGTAAACGTGTAACCTGATAATTGCCTTCTGATCGCTTGACGAAGTTTTTACGCTCGAATATGCAAAGCGAATTAAGAGGCAAGCCGTGTAAAGATGACAAACGCGGTAATTTTTGGACAGAATCTTTTTCCTTTCCAAGGAGCCAGATTAAACGACATAACGCTTCTTCTCGAATGTCACTATCTGACGCGTAGAGAAATCTTAAATTGCCTTTTAATACCTAAAATTAAGAGACTTGTATAACAATGAGAAAATACAAAAAGAAATCATTAAACAATACTTACTTCAATAAATGGCAACTGTATATTATTGGAAATATCAGGATCAAACATTTTGGTCACGCATTGACCTAAAGGTGTGAGCGTATCAGCGTGACATTGCAAAAGATGTAGCACAGGAACAAAAACTTCTAAAGTCTTCAGCCATCCAGTTTCACCCATCTGTATTCTTCCCTTCAGTATAAGCACCAGTATATCTCTCGACATCTCATTTATCTGAATACAAAATACAGAACTGTATTAAATTTGTCAAATACATCAATTTCATTTTTTAATATTCGAAACTTAAACTTCGAAAAATTTTAATTACCCTGCTATCTTCATTCGTTGCGCCATGACAAATAATTTCCGTCAAAACAGTTGGTTCAAGCAAAAACGTCAAGTTTTCCCATGATAATTTTTCTCTACTGTATTCAATTCCTAAAATACTTTCGACCAGAGTGTGACATTCGACGTAAGTCGCATGTTGAACATCTAAGTCTGCGTTCGCTAGTAAGTACAGTATCAGTTTCGTCACTAACGCGCAGTCTTCGTTGCTTAAACAATATTTTGGAAGATCTCGTAAAAACTTTATAGTTATATTAACGATAGATAAATTTTTATGATAAGATAAACTCAGTTTAGACTCGTATAACACTTTCAACGTTTCCGAAGGTGACTGCTCTATTGATCCTTTTAATATAGAAATAGACGCCTGCATGGACTTTGTAACGATTTTAGTTTCATCAAACAGTTTTATCGATGCCAGCTCTTGGGCATTTTGAAATTGCTGTAAGTGAAAAAAAAGATCATATTAACGTAAATTGAAATGCGCGACTCACATTGTATCGGCAGCACGCAAAACAGAGAAAACAAATAACTGAATCACTCACGCGGGCATATTTTAAAAACATAGAGTGCAACGCTGGATGCAGTAAAAATATCGGCGCATCCATTATGGCAGTCGTTATGGATGTTTTTAAAGTATTTGGTATGACAACATCTGCCAACTCCAACGGCACTATACTGCACAGCAATCTCATGGTAACAACGGTAAGATGCAGGTACGTAATTCTCAAGTGATCCACGTTACTGCAGCTCGCAAAATACTCCATCAGTTCCCCCATTAAATGAAGCAATGCTCTCAAGTCGTCGTTTATCCTCAAGGCTGTACCGTCATTCCAGAGCCAAATATTCGGCATCACACAAATTATTAACAGTTGCACCAATTCGTGAGTCAGGTCCATAACGTACTTGACGTTTCGTAAAGGAAAGTTGGAGTCGACGGGTACGCTTAATTGCGAAAGAACAAGTTTCAGGGACTCCACGCAATAAACAGGCAGTAACATCTGCTGCAATTGCAACACGGAGTCGTCGATATTTTCGCTGATACTCTGACTCCTGTCACTGGTCCCCTGAAACAAGTAACATCGTAAAAGGATCGGAAGAACAGAGAACTTGATAAAACGTATCAAAATATACTCACTGCCGATTGATACGCTTGGTAGTTAGCTTCAGGTACACCACCGTCTGGACTATCTCCGGCTTCCGAGGATACGTAGACATTGCTATCGAGTTTACTAGCTAGTAACTATAAATAAATAAATATTATCAAATAGAAGAATAGGTGAAAGAAGTAGGTAAAACGGACTTTTAATGGAAACTGTCGTTACTTACTATTATTATTTGTTACCGAATTAAATTCTAATTTACATCTTTTATATATTTGCTTTTTCATTTACCTTTTGTTTTTTATTTGCAACACAAGGTTCACAATAGTAGTAGATGCGAAACCTCAAAGAACGTGTCAGTTTACGCAAAGTCTTCAATACAGTTGGAACAACACAAGCAACTTTAGTTTTTGACACGTCAGTGCTTGATTTAAGGAGACCATGAAGTATCTGTAATATTCCAAATATGTACTCCATCTACATGCATTGACATAAATTGTTAAATTAATTAAAATAGAATATTTACCATAATTATCACTGGTCGTTGCAAGAAAACTTCTGCTGGAAAATCTTGCATCATAACATTTGTTATAAACTGACATGTGTGTAATATGAGATTGGTATCAATATTATTGTTAAGAGCTTCTTCGACTGCGGTAAGTACTCCTTTGTCTGATGTAACAAGTGGCTGCCATGGCATTACTAGCCACTTGATACCACCTTCTGTTGTCTTAGAAATTCGTGCATCACTTTCATGTTCCAATGTTATATCAAAAGGTATCGTACTATGTAAAAACAATGCATATTCACTTAATATATAGTATACCATCTAAGCAAAAAAGGAATAAAAGAGCATAGAATATTGCCTTAATTTGTATAATATACTTACTTATCCAAAACAGATGTTAGATGGTGAGTAGTAGATAACTCTTCATAGCTTTCTCTCCCATAATCCTTATTTTTATATTTACTATAATTTCGTGTTTGTGGCTTATATTTGTCATGTTCTAAAGATGTATTTGTAGCAAAATCCTATAATTTAATTGAAATTATCTTTTTCTTTCCTTGTTATGCATGTAAGAAATAACATAAAAATGTTTATATACCTTAATGTGTGCATTCAGTTTATTTGTTCCACTCTTTCCTGCGCGAAGAACAGCTTCTTCAATTTTGTTCAATTTTGTATGCCATTCAGGAGAGATCTTCCTTCTTAATTCATGAAGCTCGTTTTGAAATCTCAGTTTGCCAAATGCATTTAAATAACTTTTACTATCCTAAAAACAAAAATCAATATTAATAAAAATATTACAAAATATGTGATTGACATCAGATGTTTGAGATTAATAGTGTTCAGCAAGGTATTTATTCATAATTAATAAAATCATTAAATTTTTATTAAATAGAATATCATTTTTTAAATTTATACTTATAAATAAAACAATTTAAATACCTGCACCAGCTTTAACAACAAATTCAATACTTTTTCAGGTTGAGGGATTGCCTCGAAAGAGAACAAATTGAATAACCTCAGAATTATTTCCTTTTTAACAGCATCACAATCACATCCGAAACCAAAATCGTATTTGGAAATAATATTGTCCAACGCACGCAATCGTATCTCCTCGATAGTGTGGCCTAAAATAATATCAGTAAATAAATATATAATAGCATTAATATTTTTCATAAATAATAAATTACTTTTTTATATCTCTTACTCACCCAATTTTTCAACGTGTATAGACGTTATTCCACCGGTGCCTGACATTGTAAACAACCGTAATTTGCACGATTATCGCAGGTTATCTGGCAGCTGGTTTTGAACATTTAACCGCCAAATCTATGGTCTGTTCTTTCTCAGCTGAACTGATGCAATTGGTCTGTTCCTTTCAACTAACTACTGAACTGGTGCAATAAGTTAAAGTGAGACAAGTATATTTTTCTCACTCTAACTTTTGCACCAGTTCAGCAGTGCAGCTGAAAAGAACAGACAATAGCATGTTCGACTGACTCTGGGTTAACCCACTCTGGATTATTCAGCCTACGTTTATTGATTGAACAAGTATTTATAAGCTTTATGATTGGCTAGTAGAGACTTATGACGTCATTAATCGCTCTCTGAGCGATTAACCCAGAGCCAGTAGAACACGCTATTAGTTAAAGTAAGACAGGTATATTTTTCTCACCCTAACTTATTGCAGTTCAGCAGTGCAGCTAAAAAGAACAGACCACTAGAGACACCGCCATTTTAAAATTCTCTCTGGCCAGTATTCATAGTCCGATCCATGGACATAGGCCGGTATTTATAGTCCGATCTTATATTTAAGATCATCTTAAATACTGTTTTAAGATGTCATGAACCAATCACAGAGCCGTATTCTCATCTTAAGACGCCTTGATATTTCAACGTCTTATTTATTCTTATTGTTTCATAAAAAAAAACTAATTCCTAATTTTCTCATGTCTTATAACTGCTAGAAACCGAAGATTGTCAAACACTCTAAAACTTTCGCAAATTATCCCTCGATAATTTCGAATCCGAAGCGGTATGCCGGTCATCCATCCAACTCTGGCTGTGTTCCGAAATACTGCCAGTGTTGAAATTCTATAGTATATGTGACATGAACTATAGAATTTCAGTATTGACAGTAAATTTCGGAACGCAACCCTAGTAGAGATCCTTTAATAAGAGATCGGTCGCCTGGGCCTTTACTCTTGAAATAGTTGCGTATACGTAAGTTTTACTGCGCAGATTTAATCATACCATAAAATAGCTGCGCAGTAAAACTTACGTATACGCAACTATTTCAAGAATAAGGGCCCTGTAGATACTACTTTTACGAAAAAAATACGAAAAAATCCTTAATTTTAGGTGTTAACACTAAAATTTAAGTGTTCATCACCAATTTTTGGGTGTTAACACCCAAAATTGAGGGTTTTTTCATATTTTTTTCGTAAGGGTAGATTCGCCATGTTTGAGACCAAACCGGAAGTATACTTATCTCACTTTAACTTATTGCACTAGTTCAGCAGTGCAGCCAATGCAGTTGAAAAGAACAGGCCACCGCTTGTGTTGTCATTCAGCTAATGATCCTAACCGGAAGCGTGTCCCAAACATGGTACAGCCAATCAAAACGTTGACATATAATATCCGATCTCATTACAGGATCTCTAGAACCTAGCTCTGGCCACTAAAATCAAGCTGATAGCCGCTCTCAGGCTTCTTTCTGGTATAATACTTAACGACAGTCGTTATCGTTATGTTGTTCTTGCGCAGGTATAATATATGATAGAAGAGCTGCGCAACAATAACATAAAAATAACGACAATGTCGTTAAGATTTATAGAAACGCATCATAAGTTTAATAATTCTTTAGACCCGTAATTAGCCAGCAGGAATAAGGGGTTATTGTCATTATTTGTGCTAGCGCCATCTAGCGGTATCGAGAAAAAGTTTCTTTCTGCCAAAGGTTAGTGTTCTGCCAAAGGTTTGAATCCTGACTTAAAAAAGGTTCGAGTCTTGACTAACTGTTCGTTCCTTACAATTCGACCCGTAATTTTTATTAATTCCCAAGTTTCCGCTACGAGCCGCCACTAGTTTTACTACAGATTCGAGGTAATAGCACGACATAAAAGTGAGTTAAACACATTTTTATCTTTTTCAAGAAATACGACTCGACACTTTAGTAAAGTGCATCTTTATTTTATATAAAACATAAAACATTTATTTTATATAAAACATAATTAAGTAAAACTCAATGTACAGTAATTTTGGTAAAACGACGCTATTGAAACGCTTCAGAAAGTACTTTCAAAATCTCTAGTTTTCGAGTGTATTAATATTTAACATTGTTTCCGTTTTTGTCAATGCACATGTTAAATGAAAAATGGCGATCGTTCAATATTCCATCTTCTAGTTGACTGTTTACATTGTAAACGTATGTTTTTAAAAAATATTATAAATGCATGTTAAAGACGACCATTTAAACTTTTTATTCATTGCTCAACGAACGTTGTGTACCAATTCGTTCGCATTCTGTGAGCGACCCAAGCTAGAAGGACGATTTTTGCTTCAACATTAAATAATTCGGTGAAAAAAATTACACCGCATTTTGTGAGTATGTAAATTAAAGGGGAATGGTCGCACTTTGAGACCGTATACACATCATTCACGTCTGTTTTTTATTTACGCAGCATATTTCAACAAACTTTATCAAAGATCTTGGCATTTGACGAATTTCGATTAACATTTGTGCAGCGCGTCGTGAAAAATAAATAAATGTTATATTCATCGAAATATTTAAAAACTAAAGACTCTCTCTCTCTCTCTCTCTCTCTCTCTTTAAGCTGTAAAATGTTTCTCCCGCCAAATCGTTATCATTTATGCATGAATTATAGCCCGCTGAATTTCGCGTATTTTTGGTGGCCAAAAAGAGTAACGCTAAAATGAAGCAACGGGAGCAAGTGTTTGTTCGCGCAATGTATTTTAATGCAGAGTTGAAGTGAATATTTAGTTTTATCTTTGCGTCATAATAGAACGTTAAGAATAACACGAAGCCGAGTCGAGTAGGGGTGGAGATAGGGGAGATAGGGGAGGGCAGTGAGGGTGATCCTTATATATTCAACGATCAACGGCAACGAAGATTTTCAAAGGTCCGTTTAATCATCTTACGAAATTACAAGGATAATAATTCGAAGCACATGCTTTTTTTTTCGCTAACGAGGTACGTGTAGGTGTAAGGTATTACAATCGGATTAATTTTACGACACTGAATTACGTAATTATCGCAAACATCATTTAACTGCATATAAACATACAAAAGATTTAAGATTAATAATCGAGTCGTTGGTATAATTCGCTTCCTTTAACCTACCGCCTTTTGACTACCGTCTTTAGCACCACGATCGACTGTTTGCGAATCATCGGATTCGCGATATCTTCATCGGTATACCGGGTGTGTCTATGAAGCTCGAAGCTTTGTCTCGCAAACGATAAAACGATTCGTCGTCCGGTAAGATTTCACGCACGACAAATGTGCATATGCATACACGCATACATATGCACACGCGCGCGTGCGTGCGAGCGTGTGTGTGTGTGTGTGTGTGCGTGCGTGGGCGCATTTATAATCCTCCTCGGATATTTTCCGTATCACACGGCGCCCACAAAATTGCAAACGCAACTCCATCCCGGTATTTCGTCACGAGATTATAAATCGTCCAAGCGGGCTTTTAAGCGCGCGGACACTATCGACGGCTTTCACAGACCGCGGGAATGCAGAGATGCGTGTAACAACGTCGCGGCGAACTTGCGAAACAACGAAATAACTGCAAATTGTGAAATTAACGAGCCTGCCAGAGTCGCGCGGCAATCAGTCCTTACAATGCGACGCGCTAATCATCCGAGGTATTCATATCGAATAAACGGCACTGTCGATAATGTCAGCGCTCTCTCCGATTACCTCCGCGGCCACTTGACACTTGACACGTTCAAACGAAAATTCCGCCAGGCCCGCCGGCTTTCCAGATATCCGTTCTAATGAGCGTCGTGTGAACGCGCGCGCGCTCTCGCGTTCCTAGTCGCTAATGATAAACACATTCAACGCAATGCAACCGCAGCTCACGCTCGCGCAATGCGCCCCCGCGTTTGTTACGGTCGCAGATTTGCAGTTACCGTAAAAAACGCGACTTGCGAGCGGCTTCGCGACGGCGAGCGCGCCGGAAATGAGTCGTCAATGAGATGATCGCGGCGCGGCGCGCGCTGTTCGCACGCTCCTCACGCAATTATGTGATTATTACATAACTGCGCGCGCGGAACATGAGCGGCCGTAATATCACCATCTTTTTATTATCTGAAATTATCCGCCAAGAACGAGAGATTCCCTCCCTGCCTTACCGTTATTACTACTACGGCGGACAGAACGTTTTCGGTGCTTCCAGAGCACAGACATGCAGAATAGATTGCGCATTGCTATAGAAGGAATGAAGTCAGCATTAGTAAGAGAGGACAACAGAGAGCAAGATTCTTTCCTCGTCTAATTGTCTAGTTGATGGCGAGAACTATGGAGAAAAAATGATCACATAACCAATGAATGTATCCTCTTTCTTTCACATATATGTTTCCTCATATATCAGTCTCTCTTTTGTTTCTCCTACACCGTTCACTTTTAGATCGGTATTAATAGTTGTCAGGTTGAAACCTCGTCTCATATGAGATACTCAGATTATTATATAGAGTTAGGTTCAAGTTTTTCAATTAAATTATGATGTGTATAATTATAACATATGTAATCGCGATTCAACTGAATCGAGATTCAACTCATTTGATTCCAATCAAAATTAAAATCTGGATATCTGTTTGAGAGTATCTATCAAACATGATTATCTTTTTAACATTAATTAATAAATATTCACTCCATCAGAGCAGGTTTGGCTTTCACGAGGGAATGTTTGGAATGGTTCCTTACCAATTTTAAAGACTTATCCAAAGCCCATCAAAATCGGTGAAGGACAGTTCTAAACGTTGTTATTTGCCTTGTATATCCTTGATCTGAGTACTTCACTTGAAACGAGTTTCAAGTAATGGCTATTGATACATTAACCTTAGAGTTAGATACGAGTTCTCCAGTCAAATTACGCGGTATAATACAAGTATAATATTACGTATATAATATACAAATGAAGAAAACTTAAAACCTAAATTCAAGTCTGAGGATCTCGTTTGAGAAAAGTGTCAAGTAACGGGTACTAGAGTACTGCGTGACAGAGAAAGCATTTGACTTGGTATATCTCTGCCCTTCAATCTTCAACCGTCCCGTAAGAGTGCGCAATCTATTCCATAAATCTATGTTTCAGAAAAACGAACAAGCGCGCGCGCGCATGAGGTCGGGGCGAATCTTGCGTGGGTGTCAATCGCGCTGTAACCTCAATATACATTGTATTTTTTAGTGATGCACGTCTGCATCATGTTAT